TACCTGCTTGAATCACATTAATCCATACTAATATTATAAATGCGAAAGTAACTCTGTCTGTCTGTCTCGCTTTCACTCGAAAACTACCGAACCGATTTAAATGAAATTTGGTACACAGATATTCTAGAGCCTGAGAAAGGACATATTTTTTAATTGGAAAAAAGTGTTGTAATGATTCAAAGATATTTATTGAAGGGCTTCAACGTGAGCGACGCCGCGGGCGAAAAGCTAGTATGCTATGATCGAGAACTAATAATGTAAAACTTGGTATCACCTGACCACTGTCGCTTTATTGACACTAGCTACTACTTCAAACGCTATGAACATTTTATTTGTTCCTTTGAATCTAATGTAATGTTAAGCAACATCATTTCTTACCAAAATCTGGAAGAAATTGCTACCTTAGCAATAAGGCCGCCTATATTTACACTATGTTTCCTGTATTTTCTTCATATGCAATAAAATATATTATATTCTAAAATAGCGTTTTGAGTTAAGAATCTTAATGTTTTTCATCAAAACGTAAGAAAGCTGATATACTCAACGACGTATTTGCCATGGTTTTGTTAAAAGTGCTCGAAGTTTCGCTTTTATTATGTCATGAAATGCTAAATACTTATCGCATTAAACGTGTGTAATTTACGTATTTGTCAAGGTGGAAAACGTGCAATTGTCTGTTTCACGGTGGGTAGGATTCGACCTTAGAATGTTCGAATGATTCTGTAGTTCTCATACATTTTGTCTGCAGAGACAGTCAAAAGAGCGAAGAGAGAAGCAGGTGGCGCGAGAAACCTAAATCAGTCTGTTACGTCGATATAACTTATAGCTCCGGTATATTTGTAACATTCTGTCTTATATTAACGAACGAGCAACGCAAGGCGTGTTCACATAAACATTTTAAATCAGTACCAGATATAAAGGACCCTTGCCAATTAGCAATATTTCTAGTTAAATAAGCTAAATAGTAAGTACTTTAAAACATTGCGTTAATGGATCTGCGAAGATCCTTGACTTACGTTCTATTATATTTGGGAACTGCCGTGCAGAATTTAGTTTTTACTAATTTTAACGAGACTGTAATATACAGCGTATCGTTACAGCCGCGACAGTAAATGAACGCGCCACTTAACATCAGGTGAACCCCCTGCTCGCTTGCCTGTTATTCACATTAAAAAACAAAAACGTGTTACTGAATAATCCCAAATAAACGCGACTCAGTGCCTACACGAGGTGGTGCAATAATTTGATTGGAATGCCGCCCCAATTACTAGGGCACGGCCATTCAGTAGGTAACAGACGGGACACCATTTTCCCCATTCAATTAGGACAGTTTCAGCGATACGAACACGTCACGTGGAGTGGTCGAGGACTCTGTGGCAGTTGCTAAGTTTTTGGCTTCGGCGTCGGGGGTCGTGGGTTCGATTCCCGCACGGGTCACGTGATTGTTTCGTTAGTTCTTTTTTAATAATATCGATGTGTAATAATCGTCTACAGGATTAGATCAGTTAGGGTATTTCTAAAAAGTGAACAAAACTGATTTTGTATAATGAAGAATATGTTGGTTTTGTTGATGTGTGCGTTAGTTTTACGTTTAGTTAAATAATTCGAATACATTAACAAACAAACATAAAACATAATGTTTTGTTTGTTAATGTATAACTGTTTTATGTTCCAAAATTAAAAAAAGGAGGCCATGTGAACAGCACATATTGAAATGTAAGATTTAACCGGGTTTGTGTGTTTCTGTGTTTTCATTGGCCTGTGTTTATAAAGGGATTGTAATAGAGCTTTTGGGGAAAACACATGTTCTAATGAACACAGGGTGCTCTGTTTTAAATTAACCTCACGTATCTAGGAAAATTCAGTATCCTAATTAATCATCAAACATCCTAAAATGCTGCATGTGGATTTCGCATAATTTAAATGAAATACATCGTGTTAGTTAATTTAGTAATTTAACATATAGTTTGTAGAAAAAAGTACGAAAACCTGGGAACCCAGGTCTTCGGGAACCGCGGCCTAACGCTTTAGCCACTAAGCTAAACGTCTGATCGATACACCGACGAACATCTCAACGTCTTTTGTCTACATTGTTTTTTAGCATTTGAAGCAATGCTTAGCACATCCATTGTTATATCCTTTCCGGCATACAAACAATTTCGAATAACATTTTAATATGTTTGTTTTATTTGATAATTTTAATATTTTGAGGTGTTATCTCTGCTTACTAAAAGTTTTTTTGTGACAGCTAATATCAAGTCTATATGAGGAGTGTCTAAATGTAAAATGTAATCTAATGATTGCATGTTTGTATGTTTGACCCAGAGATCTCTAAAGGCACTTAATCTGTTCTATATATTTTTCCGTTCACGTAAAACTGGGCGCTATTCCGGATTAAATATTTTTCGCAGTTTACAAATTCTCAGTTAAAAATTACAATATTTGTATTCGAAATAGTAGGAGTATCAAACATATGGTTAAAAAATCTTAAATATTCCGTATAAACGTTCGGCTGATGTGATATGGAATATTTGATATGCTTTGAACGGTTCCAACTTCGCGAAGTTAGTGCAGGTCATGTCATCTATATTTTTTTTTATGTCAGAAAAATCTATTATCAGTCAACTTCGAAAGCGGAGGTGAATCTCAATTCGACTTTATTTTTTTATGTTTGTTACCTCATAACTTTCGTCTGTGTAAGCCGATTTTGATGATTCTTTAGTTATTTGAAAGCTGGTGCTTCCCATGTGGTCTCATATTTAATTAAATCCTGAAAATCAATTATGAAATGAATACAGAGCGAGATATTTGAAGTCGATTTTGTTTTTCGTTATTATTAACTAAACTAATTATTAACGTTATTATTAACTAAACTATTTTCTAATAGACTTGCTTGTATATAACATCATTGATACTGGATGAAAATTTGTGTGTTCCGTAAACAGTTTCGAGCCTAGCTCCAGCTTCTCGAGATACACCTCGTGCCAATGGTTTTCGTGTATACAGGAACCGTCTCATAGTGTTAATTAAATCGTGTTACATTAAGAGGGCACAAGCAAACATTTGTTCCCCTAAGGCAGTTCTGTTTCGCCGCAATATTTACATATCCCTACGTAGCTTACAAACGCGGGTTCAGCCGCGTTGGAAGAAAATCTGTTTATTTCGCGTTGCCGATATGTTTTCCCCGGAACATCGGAGAATCTGATCATTTTTCTCGACGTCTCTCAGCCTAATGCGTCGCTTCGGAATCGGTAAAGCGGTTACGAATGCCTAGCTGAAAGGAAGCATCTCCCACATGGACGGAGTTTGCGATTTTATACCGTTCCAATCTGTTGTTGGTGAAGTTTGCTAGAAATAATTAAATATTTCAGGACACATTTTAACACAACGTTATTTTATTTTAATTTATTTATTTAGGCTTACCAACTAAATACATACAGAACAATATTAATAAAGATTTACAGGTACCAACCGAATTATACTATATATGTATTTAACTTAAAGGTATGCACAACATTTCCATATGAAAATTAAAATTAACAAATGATGAAATATAATAGAAACAAAAAAAAAACTACACTATTCTATGCAATACAATAAATATTAATTGAGAGCTTAACATTTTATAATTTAAGGTTTTTATCTCTAGTTTGAATATAATATAGTAATCTAGTCCCAAACTAAGCGACGCTTATACTATGGGTACTAGATACCTGATAAACATACTTAGTATACATCCTTTTCTTTTTTGTAAATAAATCCATATCATAAATATATAAATACCAAACCCTGGAAAAACACTATGTTCATCATACAATATTTTTCCAGTAGTGGGGATTGAACCCACACCCTCTGGCGCAAGAAGTAGATTCGCTACCCACTAGGCCCTAATCGGGTCGAAACAAATAATTTTTTTTTACCTTGCACCTTTACCTTAAGTTATTACCGACGCCCGTGGACATCTACCCCACCTGAAGGGTAGCAGATGCGTTCCCAACATTAATAAAGTGGGCCCCGGTTACCTCACTCGTCATACGAAACGTGAAAGAGTAGTAATTCCGTTACTTCACACCACCTGTGTGACATTTGTCAGTCGTCATACAAATATGCGACATACATAACGCTCTACGAAGTAGAAATTGGCCGATTTTCTCTTTCCAAAGGTAAGATGTGCAATATTTGTCGGATCGTGATCGAGTACTTTAGTATGAAGCAACGTCACTTTTGTATGAGACATACATTGGCTACAAATTCTTGGATATCCAATCTTTTCTATTTGGAAAGTTTATTAGATTACATTTCTTTTAATTATTTAACCCTGAAGTTTCCAACTGGTAACATTATCGCGTGATGCAGATATATTACAATGGTTAAACATGGACTAAAACCCAGTACAAATGTATGGCCCGAGCGGGAATCGAATTCGAGGCCGCCGCTGCGAATTTTCAAATTCAAATTTAAAATATCTTTATTTACATAGACGCTTGCGCGCTCTTATGAAACGTCGAAATTCCACATAGAAATTAATACGTTCGTAAGTTACCACCGGTTCGGAAAGCAGTTTCTGTTGAGTAGAAGCCGGCAAGAAACTCAACAGCTGCTCTTTTTTAAAAAGGTCTGCAGTTTACAATATAAGAGTAATGCTACAGGTATAATGGTCTTATTTTAGCCTACGTGGGTATCAACAGTGTAAACTCCTCACATTGGCGTCGTCAAGAACCGATGTCAATCGAGCCACCAGCATAATCTATACCGATGTTTCCATTTGTTCTAGGTACATGGACGGGACGCGCAGTTGCCGAATAGTTGTGCAGTAAACGGTGTCAGTGTGAAACATGTGCAGTGACAGAGCGGTGATCGAGTTGCCCGCAGCGTCCAACGAGATCCGTCTCGGTTACCTTTGCGGCGGTTGTCAGTGAGATTCCAATATGGCGGACAAGGTCAGCTGATCCGGGAGCGGCGCGCGCAGGCCTCGTGGCGAGCGGCGAATAAGGCGCATCATGGTGAGTCCACTCGATGACTGTTACAAGTAATAGTTTTTAACAAAAAAAAAAAAACCGTCTTCAAACCGGAGACTAAAAACATTGTTAATACCAGGCGTAAAGTAAAATTCTTCTGCGTTTCGTTTGGTTAGTGAGGTAACCGGGGCTCACCTTACTTAAAGATGGCAACGCATTTGCAACCCTACGGGTGTTGCAAAAGTCCATGGGCGGCGGTTATCACATAACATCAGGTGAACCGCCAGCTCGTTTGCCACTTTATCAAGTAAATAAAAAAAAGTAGTTCGTTTGGGCCTAGATTAAATATGTTTAATAGTGAGTCCAAGCTGATGGTAGCATCCAACCTTCATCCCTCTATTGAAATTAGGATGTTTTTTAACTACGATAGCCTGGACCTGTGGTCTGTGGTCTATCTTTATTGAGAGATACTACCAAAAGAACATTCATTCCTTGCAAGGATGATCCGCGAGGCTATTGAAATAAATTCTGGATATTCGGTCTGCAGCAGGTGTTCGGCGAGTGGGCGCAGGTTGAGGTGGTGGAGCTGGTGAACGATGGCTCGGGGCTGGCCTTCGGGATCGTCGGCGGCCGCTCCTCGGGGGTGGTGGTCAAGAGTGTGCTGCCTGGCGGTGTCGCCGACAGGGTGAGTGTTGCAGTACTTTATGTTAGACTTACCATAAGGTTGTTTTTATCGTCGTCTCATTCATTTGACGACCCGATTGTTGCAGTTGGTGGTGAACCAGCCTCTCGCGCCAGAGGGTGTGGGTTCGATCCCCACTTCTGGAAAAGTATTGTGCGATGAACATAGTGTTATTCCAGTGTCTGCGCGGTTATATATGTGGATTATGTGTTTATTTACAAAAGACAAGTATGTTTATCAGTTATCCAGTACGCATTGTACAATCACTTAGTTTAGGACTAGAGAATGTTGTGTAAAAATGCATCCTAAAATATTTACTATTATAATCGTTAATGCGTGTGAAAATTATAAGAAGATGGATAATATTTATGTAAGTATACGGTGTTTCATACAGAGCTGAAAAGATAAAAACTTTTGTTTATGAGAACGCAATCGCGGGGATATAAATGTAGCTGATAAGAAAATATAAAAGCATAGATAGTATCTGGGATATTGAATTGACTTGTGTCAGTTAACTCAAATTTCGCTTGTAGGTTGTAGAGACTTGTATATAACAGGAGTGCTTAAATGTAAATTTCGACGCTGCGGGAATATAACCAGTGTCTTTTGACCTACGCGCAGTGCAATTAAATATTCACTTCTCATTAAAAGTGACTCGGAGAAGTTCATTTTTAAGTTATCATTTTAACATAAACCAATTCGATTAAATTTTATATTAATAATTCAAAGGCAAAGATCGATATAAAATTTAATCTACGTTAAACGTTGTCGGTCCACAGTAAAATTTAAAGGTTCTTACCTGGAGAATACTAATAGATACGTCGACTATGATAATTTTATTTGTTCACGAAATTTTAATTACAACGGAGAAAATGTTAACCATTTTGATGCCTATTTCAAATAATAATTGGAAACAAGAACAACTTCGCTTACTGTATCTAATGGTACAGTAAGCGAATTTTGTGTACAATGTATGGTATCAATCAATTCAGACGGCCAGAATCGTGTTAACACAGACAGATATCCCAACGGACGGGGCGCGACAGAATTTCGATCGACCTCTGTTATATGGTGCAATGTATTATACATATAAACCTCCCTTTTGAATCACTCTGTCTAGTTAAAAAAAACATCAAGATCCGTTGCGTAGTTTTAAAGATCTAAGCGTACATAGAGACAGACAGACAGCGGGACGACTCTAGTGATACTGAATCAGCTATGAGTGAAAATCGCCCAGGTTGGCATAACTTGAATATTCCCGAAATAATTTATTCTGTAACATAAACGATCAATTCGTTTTATATGGCTTAACGAAATTAGAGCAAACCCGACTTCGTGTCTTGGTCTTCTGTGGTCGTGCCATGACTTGTTACCCGGACGGACCTGCCTATACTTGCAACAGAATAGACTGTAGCGCGGCCCTACCACAGTTAGGGCTACTCGTCTAATACCAAAAAGTGCAAAAACACACGAGTACGTGATAGGCCACAGCGTGGTGCCCCAGTTTCCAACGTTTGTGCTGACATTACTAATGCAACGTTTCTCTACGAATGGCGTAACTTCTCGACCCGTTCGGGATTCGTGCCAACATCCACCGAGTTGTGCATTCGTTATTAGCTCGATCCGGATTCGGAGTTGCAAGTTTCGTTCACACTTCATTGCCGGTCTCTGGAAACCGTGCGCTTTATTGAGTTGGTTAAAATTTAGACGTTGAACTTTGTTTTGCGGTGACATTTTGGTATTTCTAAAAATAATTGTACAGGTCATGGGATACATTGTGCTTTCGTTCGAAAACTGGGACTGTGTAAACAAGCACGCACATTTTTTTTTAATGTGAAAAGATGCCAAACGAGCAGACGGTTCACCTGATGGTAAGTGAATACCGCCGCCCGTGGACATCTGCTACACCCGAGGGTTACAGAGGCGTTGATAACCTTTTGAAAATTGGGCTCCGGCTACCTCACTCACGATTTATACGGTGGTAGAGCCACGCAGCTGCCGCGGCTGTTGCACGAATGGGCAGGCCCGTCCGGGTAAGTACCACGACCTCACAGAAGACCAACGCACATTTTAATAAACCTTTTGAATTGGGTAGATAGATTAGCTAATTTAAATACATTTTGCCGAGGTAAATCCAGAATCTCTTTTTCTTTTATGTGACGAGGTGGCAAGCAAGCTAGCGGTTTACCTGATATCAAGTGATAACCGCCACCTATGTACATTTGCGACCCCGTAGGGTTGTGGATGCGTTGTCACCTCTTAAAGTGGGTCCCGATTACCTTACACACCAGCCGGTACGCAGAAATACATCACTTCTACTTCACGCCCGTCTCCTGTGAGGTCGTGGTTCTTACCCGGACGGACCTGCCCATTCGTGCAACAGTGCACTGCGAACAACGGCGAAGATTGTTGCGTGGCCCTACCACCGTATACAGACGTGTATTACCTACGTGCTAACTTCGATATTGGATTACTAAATGATACTATGTTTACGGATTTGTCGCGTTTATTTTTCGATTTAATTCACGACGTTTCGAACTCTTTACAGCCTTAATAATCACGTCTAATGTGAGGTCGTGGTACTTCCCCAGACGTACCGGCTATTCGGCGACCAGCGAAAACTGTTGCGTGGCTTGACAGTTTTTGCACTTACTCGACACGATAAACTTATTAGTGTACATCACTCAGTTTGAGATCACGTCGCTCATGTGCTGCCGCTCTGACCAGATCACCTGATGTAGCAGGGAGCCCCATCGCATGTGAATTCAGCGAATCCATTTAGTCACCTTCAGGTCAGGGGATATCCCCTACTGACCATCCAATTTCGCTGGCCCTGCTCTTCCGTTCGACGATGTCCCCCTGGAACTTAACAATTGCATCGGAGGCGACCAATGACATTATCTAGCTGATTTATTTGCCAGCACTGCCATCGCTATGTCTGGTGGGTCGAGATTTTTTTTTGTCCTTTAGACCACGATCCTACTATCGCACGCCCACGCAAATCATAAGACAGCCTACACGAACTACAAATGGCTTATGCATTCAATATTTAAATCACTAGTTGTCTTCTTATTATAACTAAAGTAAAAATTAATATAAAGTAAAGTAAAGTAACAGCCTATACATGTCCCACTGCTGGGCAAAGGCCTCCTCTATACAGAGGTTATCAGGGCATAGTCCACCACGCGGCACCACTGCGGATTGGCGGACTTCACATATCTTCGAAATGTTTTTTTTTGTTATTATTTTGAAAATATGCAGGTTTCCTCACGATGTTTTCCTTCACCGCGGAGCACGTGATAAGACAGCACTTAAAGTTAAAAACTTCATTGGTGCCGGCACTGGGGTCGGCGCCGGCGAATTCAGGTTGCTCGAGTATATTGAATTAAAGGCGAGCGCCCGGACACTGAGATATCACGGCTCTCTCTCGCTTAAAAATAATATATCTAAAACATATCTTAACACTGTATGTGTATATGTATGTGTGTGTATAACAATGTATTATACAAATAAACCTTCATCTTGAATCACTCTATCTAATAAAAAAAACCGCATCAAGATCCGTTGCGTAGTTTTAAAGATATAAGCATATATAGGGACAGACAGACAGCTGGACTTTGTTTTGTACTATGTAGAGATATGAACATAAAATTTACTTTAGGTGGTTGTGCAAAATACATTAAAATCTGGATTATTACATATCAAAACATACTTGCCCATATAACAATATTTTTAGATGTGTCTATTAACATGTTTATAACGTATGAGACAAAACAGTTAAGTGTAAAAGAGAAAGGTATATAGCATGATAAAACAATTTTTCACTAATATAAAGATAAGTAGTGCTCAAACAGCGAGAAGAAGCAGAAAATGGGATTGATTTATTATAACTTTCCAGCGAGAGGCTACGCTCGCTTCCAGAAATAATCCGTGGGAGCGGAATTGAAATATTCATATCAACGCGAAACTCGAAATAAAATTTTCATTCAAAACTTACGTTACGTTTTTCGTATCTTAAATTGTGTTCCACTTTCGTATAACAAATTTTCTCCATCTTACTTCAGATGATTTTTTTTTAAATGCGATCGAATCATGTTTGTATGCTGGAAAGGATATAACAATAGATGGCGCCAAGCATTGCTTCAAATGCTAAGAAAACAATGTAGAAGAATGCGTTAAGATTTTCGTCGGTGTGGTAATCAGCCGTTTAGCTCAGTGGCTAGAGCGTCAGGCCGCGAATGCCGAAGACGTGGGTTCGATTCCCACAGCGGCGACAATCTTTTCGTACTTTTTCTACATATTTTAATATTTTTATTATGTTATGAGAGACGTTGTTTCACATCCGTTATGATGGCGCTCTGTTCGTTGTAATGTTAGCTTTGCGAACTCATTCAGTGGACAGCAAAACGTACCTATTTTTCTGGCTATCAAGCTAAGAGGATAATGGTGGTAGGGCCACGCAACAGCTTCGGCTGTTTCACGAATGGGCAGCTCCGTCCGGGTTAGTGCCACAATCAGAGAGAAGGCCGGCGTAGAGTGGAACTGTCATACTTCTGCGTTACGTCGTGTGGGTGAGGTGGCCGGGGCCCACTTTATTAAAAGCTGGCAACGCACCTGTAAACCTACGCGTGTTGCAAATGTCCATCAGCGGCGGTTATCACTTAACATCAGGTGAACCACCAGCATGCTTGCCTTCTTACTTAAAAATAATTACCGGCCAAGAGCGAGTCAGACTCTCGCACGTAGGGTTCCGTGCCATCATCTATAAAAACGGCAAAGAATCTGTTGTATGGGAAGTCTACTGAAATATATTTTTATTCTGGTGTTTAGTATTTGTTGTTATAGCAGCAACAGAAATACATCATCTGTAAAAATTTCAAATGTCTTACTATCACGGTTAATGAGATACATGCTGACAGACGAACAGATAAACAGACAGACAGCGGTGTCTTAGTAATGAGTCCCGTTTTACCCTTTAGGTACGGAAGCCTACAACAGCTCAG